CACTTCTTCAGATGCAAGAAGAAGTGAGGTTCTTACCCACGAAAGCTTATGCTCCCAATACTTCTGTTAGTCTCAAAGGTGCCACAGGACCCTCTGTTGCTTTTTACAAAAATAAAGTGAACCATGAGCCCTTCTCAAGAGGGAAAGCATGAAAAAGTGAGTGAGCAAATCTACTGGAAGAGAAAGAAAACTAGGCACTACAAAAATAATTATTATTATTAATAAAAACACTTTATTTCTCTAGTTACTCCTGAAATAGATGACTTCTTGTCTCATTGGAACATTGCAATTGTGACATTGGATCTAGTCCAGTATTCTGTCTCCAACAGTGGGCCAGAAGCTTCAAAGCATGGTACACGAAACCATGCAGTAGGCAGATGTGGAATAATCTGCACCCCACATTAAGATAATCATTAGGCATTAGGATGAGATTTAAACCCAGAACCATGAAATTTAATATCCCTTCCAAAATGTGTTAGCAGTAATAACAACAACTCTGGATATTCTTGTTATCTATAGAATATCCAATCCCTCTTTGAATCTTGCTAAATTTTTGGACTCACTGACATCCTGTGGCAATGAGTTCCCCGGTTTAATTAGCTGCTGTGTGAAAAAGTATTTCTTTTTATCAGTTCTGACTTCACCAGGTTTTAATTTAAAACCCTGTAAGGTGTTCAGTTAGAGTGGTCACCAACAGTGTTCCGTCTAATTTTTTCCACACATGTGCAGAATGAAGTTTGTTATGTGCACCAATATGGAGATGATGTGTGGTGGGGGTGGGGCTGAGGGGCTCGGAGTGTGGGAGGGGGCTCAGGGCTGTGGCAGAGGGTAGGGGTGCAGGGGTGTGAGGCCTCCAGCTGGGGGTGTGGGCTCTGGGGTGAGGCTGGGGATGAGGGGCTTGGGGTACAGGCTGTCCCAGGGCCACAGTGGGGAGAGAGGACTCCCCCCAGGTCTCTCTCCCCGCAGCAGCACCTGGGCGGGGCAGGGTGGTGGAAGGCGCATCCCCCCTGGCCATGGCAGGTCCGGGGCTGAGTTGGGGCCAGGGAAACGCCCAGCAGGTTCAGGCTGCGGCTGGGTTCAGGCCGAGGGAGGGGCGCTCCTACCCCGGCCGTTCCGGGCAGAGGCTGGGTTCGGGCCGGGGGAGGGGCGCCCCTCCCCTGGCAGGTCCCGGCCAGGCGGGTTCCCTGAGCGCCTGCGCAGCGCTTAATATGCTGCTGCATGGCTGCGCAGCTTACAGGGAACTTAGGTCACCAACACATCCACAGAATACCTGGTATTCTGGTACTGGTGCGTGAGATCACGTCGGTGGGGGCTGAACGGCACTCTCTTCAAAACTGCTTATTCCACGTGTGATACTGGACAATGGTTTTATATTAGTACCAGACAGGGAACAAACCACACGAAAACATAAAACCAGAAGCTTAAAAATTAGACAAATGGCCTGTCTATGTCCAAATAGTTTACATTTCCCCCTCCTATGTGCATTCTTTTACATTTATCATCCCTTAACTTCATGTGCCATTGTGTTGCCCATTAACCCAGTTGGATTAGGTCTTTCTGAATTTCCTCACAG